TGATTCTTATTTTTATGGCTTATTTATTTTAATTATTAAAAAAGAAAACTAAATTTATGCAATAATTATGTAGTTATATTTTTTTAAAAAGTCGCTGATGTTATATTAAATGTTATTTAAAACTAAAGCAGATTATAACAGCTTTTTTGATGACAGGGTTATAGCTTTTTTAATTGCTTATGAAATATGATTAATAGTAAAACATAAATAATTAAATAATTGCCTATTGCGAATGTCATCCGTTTTTTTTTTCGTTTTTTTTTAAAAAAAAATAAATTAGACGTTCTACCAGATATTATTTGTTAAGTTTTCAATGTAAATATGGATATTTTAAAATTAACATGTAATAGGCAAGCGTCTGTTACTTATTCAAAAAACGTTCCAAATTTTATCTGGAAAAATAGTACGTTTGCGTTTAGAGAGGAGCTTCGTCACACGTTTCTAAATTAACATTTCGGTTATATATACTCGCATTGTTCTATAGCGTCCAAAAATATTACATTAAAATGTAATATAATAATATATTAAAGGTTATTAAAAATTTGTGTCTGAAATTAAGTAAATTTTGATATGGATAATTTTAATTGTTGTGTTCAGTTTCGAAGATTAATGTGACTAATTTTTTCATGACCGTATACCAAAGTAACAATTGAAAAATGTAATTTTCTTATTTTTCGTCTTGTAAATTTGCTGAGATATGCATGAACATCAGTTATTTATTATAATTTGATTTACCACGGATAAAATTAATTTTAGTTTTTGATTTTACTTCCAAATCATACCTTTTTAACGATAATACTTAATAATATTTTTTGAGGTATGAACGCATTAATATTAAAGTAAATATAATGAATACAACTGGAAATAAGTTAATTGAGATGATAGCTTTAAAAATAGTATCCAAATCATGATAATATCCAAATATAATATCCAAATTCCAAATATATATCCAAATTCTTATTTTTTTTTTCTACTTTAAAATTTTTACCATGCATTTACAAAATTTTGTTTGCAGTAATATTTTATTTTCTTTATTAATGTAATATGGCGGTTTTGTATTCCTCATTTTTATGAGAATAACTGTTTCTTAGCAAAATATTCTAGCTGATCATTCTTTCTGACTCCTGCTTTTTCTATGATTTCAGTACATTTCCAACTGATAATTAGCCAGACCCACAATGAAATGAATGTAAATATGTATTTTCTTGTTTGATCCTGCTCCAGTAGCAGGTGTGGTCCGGGCTATTATCGTTTGCAAATTTTGACACTATTGTTACTTTTGATGTATTTTGATTTTCTACAATTCCTTCTTTTGCTCTGAATTTATACTATTCCAAAATGAAAAATAAAAAAATGGTTTGTCTTATCCTTCAAAGGATTTTCAGTTTCGATTAAGAACAAAAATGATACATTAAGAACAAAATCGTACATTTCTTGACTACCCTTGGTGGTCTAGGAAAGTTTACAATATAGAACACGCCTCTCTCTAACAACTTTCATTTTTTCCCTCGAAATGTTCTATTAATAACCAATCCTGTTTTCTTAGCCTGACATATGCCTTATTCTATGAAGAATGCATGTATAAAATAACCATTATTAATTATGCTCGCATTTTTTCTTTCATAGAGCACTTGATTGCTTTTGATTATTATTATTATTGTTCATTTTTGTAATTATTCTTTTTTACGCGTATACATTTTAGCTGACTTAAATAGTTTCATACTTTATATTAATAAACCTTTGAGTATAGAAGATGGTTAAATTATGCAAAGATGATATAAAAGTTAAGTGGTATATGTGCAGTTGGAATTCGCAAAAGATATAGTTCGAGAATTAATACGTTGGATATGTTAATAGGTAATATACCTTTCGTTTTAAGCAATCTATTTGTGCAAGATGCGTATTCTCTATTTAGATTTCTTTCCCCTTTTAAACTTTTGTCGCCGTTGGGGTAAACAAATTGAAATGTGATGTAAAATTAATGAGCTTTTCACTTCGTTTTTGAATTCGTCTGATAACGGGATAGAAAAAATGTCTTATGTAGAAGGCCAACATCACAAATGAAAATACAAAATTTAGACATATTTAATGGAAATCTATTATTTTTCGTAAATACAGTGCATGTTCAACACTAAGATAATTACAAGCTTTGATTAAATGAAATTAGAATCCGATCTCGTCAGGACAATAATACAAATTTTGAGCCAATGTACAATGCCACAAATATAGTACGTGTTCTACGCCACGATAATTGCAAATTTTGATTAAATGAGATTTTAGTCTTGACCTCATCATTAGAATAATACAAATTGTCAGTCAAGATGTAAAATTTCAATAACTTAAATGGGAATCTGTTCTTTTTCATAAATATAGTACGCGTTCAGCGCTAATTTTGATTAAATGAAACTGGAATACGATTTTTTAATGTCAACGTATTCTGCGGATATGTAAATGTTTGATTTGGCTTATTTTAAATGGAATACGATCTTTTTTATATAGAAGGGAGTTAAAGTTAAGAAACTATATTCAAACAATAATAGTACTTACTAAATCGTTAATCATTCAACTATTTATATCATTCAACTATTTATATTGAAATTAGGCAATTTAGTGAGTCATTCCTTGAATCATTTTGGTTATTCACAGACATCTAATTTCAAACAATTGTCTAAAGATGAAAAGAAGAAGAAGAAATTTAAGTAGACAGACAAAACACGAGCAGTAAACAATACTACCTGTTCTTTGTCTTCCAAATATCTCTGACATGAAATTACGCGAAAATTACTTTTGCTCATTGAGTGAAGTATAAGTACAAAATAAATTTCTTGGCTGGTAAAATTCGTGCAAATTTTTCGCCAATGTCTATCGGTCAAACTCATTAGCGACAGGGGCAAACTGTTCATAAATCACCAAATAATGAATTTGGCGCACTGCACGGAGAATGATTTCATAAATTTTCCATTTTTGAGATTGTGATGCGTGGATTTTTTATTTATTTTTTGACCGTCTATTTGACCTCTTTTTCACTATCCTTTCATTTAGTTTCATAGAAAAATGTAGGAATTGGCGGAAAATGTCTATTTCCGGGTTATTGAATTTAAATATTTCTTTTTTTACTGTCTGTGCGGGTTCAGGCTTTTGTTTTTGTAAAAGAAAACTGAATTTGAAATTTATTTAAACGATGCTTGATTTTGCTGAGGAATGCCAAAACCTGTGGCTCACGGGCCAACAATGCCCCAGGAAGCCTTATGATATGACTCATAAACTATCTTAAACATTAATAAAACTATAAAATAAGTAACAAAAAGAATCCTCTGATATCTTTACCTACAAATTTGTTGTAATAATTCACTTTTGTAATAACTATATCTGTCTTGATTTCAATTTATTAATATTTTTAATAATTTTTTATCGTCTGCAAGTGAGTTAAAGAAACATGGTTATTTATAAGTCATTAATATTATATCCAATTCGAATCTAAATGTACCCTAATTCATACGATTAAAGCTTCATGCTTTAGCCCTCTTTATGATATTTTCTGTCTTTCATTCTTATTTTTTCATATATATAGTAATGTTACATTTCCACTAAAATAATGTTGAATGTATAAACATTGAAAAAATAATCTTTACTCTATTATTTACATGCATTATCTATTTAAATTTTTTATCATTCAATTTGCTTTGCAATTAATATAATTTGTTACGGAATATTAAAGGGGAAAAAAAACTTTTCAATGAGATTTATAACTTTTAATTAAGGTTGATATAAAGACATTTATAATTTTCATTTACAGTTAATTTAAATGACAATTCTAATTGTCATTTTAAATTACATTTATAATAATCATTTACAGAATGACATATTTGAACTTACTTAAGTTAATTATTTGTCTAGTCATTTTGTTCAATTTTTTTATTTATATTTCAGAAATATTTGTTGTGTATTACTAATGTCAAGCTTCAACGCTAAATTTCAACTTATCCTCACTATAATTCAACTTATTTTTATTTTTAGACCATTTTTATTTATAACATTTATTATTAATGTCCAGCAACAGCACCATAATTCCACCCAGAATCTTTCTTAAATTGCCTTTTTTCACTGCAAATTTTACTTACTAAATTTTAAAATAATCATTGGTCAATGCAATGTCTATTCGGCAACTCTTTCATTGTATTCTCCTTTAAACATTATTGATTTATTTTGTCATTTATATCCGATGTCCGGCTATAGTGCTATAATTCAATTCATCCAGACATCCCCCATGTTATTCGAAAGGATTTTACGCTCCTCCGATGAGAGTAATTATTAGGGACAATGGATAATATCTCCATTGAAAAGTTGCACGGCGAGTGAGAGTTCTACTTTTTTTTCGAAAGGGTATAGAGGGGGTAGGCCTCAAATTTGCGTCTGGCCCCTCGTTTGCAACCCTTTCACACTGCGGGACGTTTGCACCCATTTCCTCCCCTTAATCCAAGTTGGATCTTTTATAACATCGCTTCCGATGGGGCATTGTTTGAGAAGTTGCAATATGGGTTGGTTCGCTACTTTACTCTGTTGCATTCGTGTTCGTGGTCTTTACTTATTCGGTAGTGAAATTGTATTTTTTCCTGAGATCACTGGCGTTAATTTTATCTGAAATTATTCTTGAATGATCGAAGAATTGAAACTGCTTTGGTGGAATAAAAAATTGTGTCTAAAATTTTGCAATGTGAAAGACTTGTATCAGTATCCAGTCTGAATAGACAGGTAACTTAATTTCTTAAGCCCAAATTATTTGCTGTAAAGACCAAAAAAATCAAAATGCGTTCTTTCAATTGATTTTCCATTGTAAAATTCAGAGGCTGCCATCCGAAGCATATTTAATGTTTCTACTCAATTCGAATTTCCTTTATCTTATAATTATTTTTTAGCTGAGTTTGATGTATTTTTAGGAATGCAGTAGTTTATTTTTTGCTTACTGTTTCAATTATTAAAATAGTTTTATTTATTTTTAGGATCCTATTTGAATGATGCTCCGGTAATTAGAGTCCATCCATGGACTTTGTTCCCGGCAACGATACGGGCCAGTATCAGAAGCAAGGTGTCGACTCGGGCCCACCAAAACTCGTTGTGATGACTGCTGGTGTGAACGAGCCATCCCCTCAGAACACTACAAAGAAGAAAAAAGGAGGGGTCGACGAAGAGATGGAAGAGGGTAGTGGCGATTTCCCACCTGTTATAGCAATGCAACCTCCAGAAGGTGCTGGAGATGAGTCTGTAGGTGCAAATATGCTCGAAGATGAAGGCGATGCATCTAACAACAGTTCTGCCAGTGATGTTGAGACCTTCAACGGAAAGATCGTTTACAATCCTGATGGTTCTGCTTACATCATAGAGGGTGTTGATTCCGAGCTTAGTGATGATGAGTATGGCGGTCGAGACTTGCTTCCTTTCCTGACACCAGGAAAAAATAGCAGTGTTCGTTCGTCTTCCTCACCCCGACCTGCCAACCAAAGCCCCATCGAGTCTCAACCTCAGTTGGTCAATGCCCTACACATAGCCAGGCACCCAGCGCTGTTTGGCGCTATGTGTGGACAATTCAACAATTTCCTCCGGGAGAACAACCATAAAGTTCCTGAAATACCAGTTATGCACAGCTATCGTGTGTTTACTGTCAAAGATAGAACTGACACAGATGGGGCAACATCCCCTTCATCATCATCATCAAATGTGCCGTCTTCGTCGGACACTGCATCATATTCTGTATGGGACTGTGGCACCGTGCCAGTTAAGCCCATTCTCATGTGCTTCATTTGTAAACTGTCCTTTGGGTTTACGAAGTCTTTCGTAGCCCATGCAACAGGTGAACATTCGTTATCTTTGAATGACGCCGAGAAAGAGCTGGTCTCGCGCAAAAACATTTCGGCTGTGATCCAAGGGGTAAGTGCCGAACCCCTGCTCTCGTTCCTAGAGCCCATTCCTCCTACCAGTATTGCTACTACGTCTCCATCGTCTGCTCAGATGGTGAACAATGGCAACTGTATCGGTAGTGCGGCATCGTTCGCATCTACGTCCTCAACGCATGGCTCAGTCTCAAGTTCCTCTTCACACATCGTCCAATCTGCTGCCCGGCATGACGATCAACAAGTCACAACGACTTCCCCTACCGCTGTCACAACGGTAGTGTCTGCCAGTCTGTGTCCGGTGACAACAGTTCCTGAACTTTCAGTTTCCACATCTACCGGAGAAGCAGCTTCGCTTGCACCCTCGTCATCATCCTCTGCTTTCAATTCGTCTACATCTAGTTTCGGAGACACGTCTCTGGTCCCTGAACTCGAAGACCTAGCGAATTTGGAGAAAATGGCCGAGGCTGCAGCCGCCGCTGCTGCTGCCGCTGTCGTTTCAGTTCCTGAATCTTCTAAGTCCTCCCCTTCACCGCCCGTTGCTAACGGATCATACGATGCTACAGCAACGTTGCGAACTCCAAACCAAAGTAATGCTGAAAGAATGCCAAATTCCTTATCACCTCCTACAAAGAACTCACTCAATAGTCATCACCATCAACAGCAGACGAGTCCAGTGTGTAGTAATTCAATGAACACCCTAGAGGAAAATACAGAAAACATTTCACCTAAAACCAATACGAGTCCATCACCACTTGCAGTTGCTTCAACACACATGCCTATTGGCACTTGCTCTCATCACCCAGAAGGCAAATTGAATGGCGTTGAATGTCCGAAGTGTGACATGATTCTAGGCTCTTCGCGATCTCTAGGTGGGCATATGACAATGATGCACTCCAGGAATTCGTGTAAGACACTGAAATGTCCAAAGTGTAATTGGCATTACAAATATCAAGAAACATTGGAAATACATATGAAAGAAAAACATCCAGAGAATGACATGACCTGTCTTTATTGTTTAACTAATCAACCGCATCCTCGGCTGGCCCGTGGTGAGACTTACACTTGTGGATACAAGCCATATCGATGTGAGGTCTGTAACTATTCCACAACAACCAAAGGTAATCTTAGCATACACATGCAATCAGATAAGCACATAAACAACGTGCAAGAGCTTCAAAACGGTAGCTTAACTCCAGAGCACATTGCTGCTTTGCAACAGCAATCTCAACAACATCCTCAAGCGTCGGTTACTTCGCCATCTTCAACTGGACTTGCAGTGCCGTCTTCCACCTCAACTTCCGAGGCCCTTAAGAAAGCTCAAATGGCACCAAAACCGAAAGCAAATTGGCGCTGTGATGTTTGTAATTATGAAACAAATGTTGCACGCAATCTGAGGATACACATGACCAGTGAAAAACATACTCACAACATGATGGTTTTGCAACAGAATATGAAGCATATTCATCACTTATCTGCAATGCAACAAGCGCAAATAGACCCGGTTTTCCAATTTCATCCCGGTTTACTTATGCCTGCTGATGCTCAACTTCAACCTGAAGCAGCCATCGCTGACATGGCCTATAACCACGCTCTTCTCATGATGGCTAGCCAACAGCAGCAACAACATCAGCAACAAGCGCAACAGCAACAACAAGCACAACAACAACAGCAGCAACAACAACAGCAACAAAGGGCTATGGCAGCCGCAGTTGCCGCCGCTGCAGCAGCTAATTCAAAACCTCCGCATCTAGGAGGACCTGGCCCATTAAACCTCTCAGTTCCTGCTTTGGATCTAGAACATCCTGATCCAACTGTGAGACCAGATATTCAGTATGAGGACAATATGAAACTGTATTTATGTTGCGTCTGCACCATCTTTTCTTCGAACTCCCTTGAAACTTTGAATCAGCACGTTCAGCTTGACAGAAGCAGATTACGTGAGGACGAAGTCTTGACAGTTGTTGCTGGTACATCAATCTGCAAACTCTGCACTTACAAAACCAACCTGAAAGCTAATTTCCAGCTGCACTGTAAGACTGATAAGCATTTGCAAAGGCTACATCACGTCAATCACGTTAAAGAAGGTGGTAGCAAGAATGAATGGAAACTGAAATATGTGAACGTTAGCAATCCTGTCCAAATTCGATGCAACTCATGTGATTACTTTACGAACTCATTGCATAAACTTCAAATTCACACGACAAATCCCAGACATGAAGGAAACAGCCGACTGTTTTTATTCCTAGAACGAAGCGCATCGTTTATCAAAACTGAACTGAAGTCTTATCATTGCACTATGTGCAATGTATCAGTGAGGACAAAAGTTAGTCTTATCCAACATGTGAATTCTTTAGCACATATGAGGACTGAAAACTTGAGACAAATGCAAGGGGAAAGCGAACCTGATTTGAGGGATGTTTTTATAGTCAAGGAAGTGAAACAAGTTTCTAGTGATTCTCTGAAGGCTGCTGAACTTACAGATGATGAAAAAGGTAAGAATCTTATCTTCAATTGAAGAAATAATTGTAGAATTATTAAATATTTTTAGAAGGATAATTTAAATTAGTGTTGGTTTTTAAACATATTGTAAGAATATTAGTTTAAAAAATGTAATAAAATAATAGTTTTAATTAAAAATATGATAAAAGTAATTTTGAAAATGTAACATAAAATCAAACCTGGGAAAGCGCTAAGGCAGCATAAGTCCAAAATTTATCTTCAAATATATTTTTATATAATTGAAGATAAATTATATTTAAATATTTATTATTTTAAATATTATATTTATATTGTATATATATACAAGAATTATATTTAAATTGAAGTAGAAAATTAAATTACTATTTCAATTTATATATAATTCTCTAATTTCGTATAAGTGTATAATTTACTAATATTAATGAAAATTAGTTGTACCAAGTTAAGAATTGTAAAGATAAATTATGTAAAATGAGGGGGGGGGGAGTTATGAAATTGTACAGTAATACTAAAAAATTTTTCAGACAATTTTACCGACCTGAAAATATTCAAAAATCTAAACAATGTATGAATAAAACAGATCCTAGTTATAAGCAGAGTGTGGATTAATTGCCTTATAATAATTAAAAACTTTCCTCCAAATTACGAGGCAATATTTTAGTGGAGAAAGAAAGTTATGAAATTTTACAGAAATAGTATCAATTTTACAAAAAAAATGTACAAAAATCTGAGTAATGTATGAATAAAACAGGCCCTAGTTATAAGCGGAATTCGAATTAATTGTCTTCAAATAATTAGACTAGACTTTTCTCTAAATTACGACGCAATATTTAAAGTGGAGGAAGATAGTTATGAAATTGTACAGTAATAGTATAATTTTTTCTACATAAAAATATTAAAAAAAATCTAAGTAATGTATGAATAAATTAGACCCTAGTTGTAAGCGGAATGTGAATTAAATTTCATAATGTAATTCCAGATATTCCTCTTAATAACCGTGCAAAAAAGTCCATTATCTGAGATAAATATTTTAATTGTGCATTTTAAAGATAATTTTTGTGATATATGAGAGTAATTTTTGTGATATATGAGAGTAATTTTTGTGATATTTAAGAAAAATAACAATAGAACTGCATTTTGAAATGTTGATGGCTGTTGTTGTTTTTGATTCAAAATTACTGTGAGAGCTGAGTTATTTTATTGTCTCTACTTCCAAAATGATCTAAAAAATAGTAACTAATTTTATTTATATGTTATACGTTCAGATAATTTGACCTAAAAATGTGTTTGTCTTTAAAATTTTTAAATAAGTATTTTAATTTTTTTCCCCTTCATTAAAATTTCACCAGCTAGTTAAGTTTTGCCTTACCCGGTAATAAATATGAATGCGATCATCATGCTGCATTAATGATTTTTATATAAGTTGATTAATTAAAAGTAAAAATAATTAAAATAAAATTTGTCAAATTAAAGTAATTGTAATTATTAAAATATTTTTAATTATGAGCTTAATATTCTGCAATATGTTTATTTCCTTCAGTTCTAAGAAGGGTTCTATAGATCTTTCTTTTGCTTTGTTTTTGCAACAGATTTAGTTTATAATAGAATTTGGTATTCTTAGCTTAAAATTTTAAATTTGTGTAGCACCATAAAATCTTACTTTCAATAGGAAAGATATAGTTTTCATGACTTATCAAAACTCTCTTTACATGTGTCAAACATAGCGTCTACCATGATTTAAATTTTTAGTATTAGATACGTAGTATCTTCATTTTTTTAGCCTGCCTTTTGGCGCAGTTTAGCCGCATTCGACTTTTGATCAAGTTAAACTCTAATTTTTTTTAATTTAAGGAATCAAACCTGTTCATAGTTCGGTTTTTATTCAAATTACTTATTAATTATTTTTATTGCATTATTTTTTTTTTAAATTACTCATTATTAAATCTTTTTACAAAGGCACAACAAAGACAACAATAAAATAAACTAATAAAAAAATACATTTCAAATTCAAAACATTAAATATTTTAAATTCGGATTTTTTTCTTTCATGTTCGGTTTTTGAATTGTATTGAATGAATCGTTTCAAATCTAAACTGAAAAATCAAAATAAAAAAAGGCTGACAAACATAAATATATCCTTTATACTGCAAATTACATATTGTAATTTGGTCTTTTATTGTATTTTATCTGAAAATTGGTCACCCGTTTTTTATATCATTATCATTCTAACCAAAATAGCTTCTTTTAATCAGATAAGTATTTTAAATTACAAATTTGATTACGTAAAATCCGCATATTGCGTGATCCTTACATTCGAAAGTTCTTTTTGTGACATTGACGAAGCGGGAATAACTTTGAAGAATTACAGCTCCCCCAACAGCTGTTTGTAATTCACTGTTCCTCTTCGAGTCAAACAAGGAGATCAAGAGTTTCAGAAGTGACTTTTCCTCATGAACAGCACGCAAAGGTGTCTGGAAAGCACCTCAACTGCATAATTGTGACCAACCAATTTGCAAATCAAACGTGAGCTTTTAATGCGATTCGTGTGTAAATGAAGGGTAAATCGATACGTGAGAATGCGTGTAACTTCAGCATCAGGAGTCATATTTTGGTGAGCTCCAACCGATTGTGTTGTGGTACTACTTAGTATCGCATTTTGTGGTGAAGATTTCTGCCTGACCAAAGGATTTGTAAGAATAATGTCCTGTGGATTTAAACCGATTTTGTTGAGGTACTAAGTATCGCATTTTGAATGAAATACTTCTGTCTGGGGATTTTATATTAAATATTTCCGTCTACCTCGTTTTTACACCTCTGTTTGATCAACTTACCCTGCATCTTGGTGCGGTATAGCCGATGCCGGCTTTTGTTCCATTAAGCTCAACATTTATTTAAATTGCAAAAATATTGTCTAATTGCAATTGCTTGTTGTAATTGCAGTTCACCAACTTAGTAGTATCTGTTTTTTTAATTTTTTTTTTTAAAGTTACTTCTGAATTTATCGAGTGCAATTAGAGTGCCATTTTAGCAGCATGGATTCTGTTTTCAGACTTGTTGAAGCATTAGATTGTTCATACATATCTATTTTTTTTTTTTTAAATTCATCCGAAATTGCTTCTTTTTAATAAAATCTGATAAACTTCGATACATGTTGTTAAAAAAAAAAGATATCGGAAAAGCGTAGAATTAACTCTCTGGCGGAATAATGTAAACTTTATTTTTTTTTTCTTCATAGTTGTTATTTAAAATACTCTTTTTTATTTTTTTTTTAGAAAAGTAAAAGATACCCTTGTAATAGTTGTATACAGAGGTTGTTTAAAAACACTGAATTGGTAATAAAACACATATTTTAAGAGATACTGTGCATTTTAAAAGCAACTTAATGATTTCCTGGTTTAAAAAAATTTATCGTTGCTTTAGAGATCCAGAAATTTTTGGATTTTAATGCAATCATATTTAATATGTTTTAAAATGTTTCATTAAAAATTTTCTAATTTTTGGATGTAAACAGGCTTAGCTGTTTGGGTCTTCAGAAACTTAACACAATACACATTGTTCATTAAAATATATTTAATTTTATTTTATTTACACATTATATTTTAAAAGCTTGGCATTTTCTTAGTGAACGCAAGTTCATAGAATTTATATCTTAAATAATTCTAATTGATGATTATTTTCTTTCGTTTGCAGATGCCAGCAGTAGTGATACAGGAAATGATTCTTACTTACATTCAGATGAACGCACTAAAGAAGAGATAAATTCAAAAACATCTGATACTTCAATGCTTAAGCAAGCCTTACTGGATCGTAGTACAAGCGAAGTGAACAGTCCTGAAACAGTACATACTTGCCCTTTTTGCAATTTCACAAGCAATAGCGAGGTACGAATACAGATGCACGTTGTTTCGCAACATTCTCAAAAGCCAGTGCTTCTGAAGTGTCCATTATGTTCAGAAGGCTTAGGAGATATGGATCTTCTTGAGAAGCACGTAATGGATACGCACTTTGTCAGCAAAGAAGTAGTCAAGAATCTTCTCAAGCTGGTCGATACTAGTGAATGGGAAGCAGCAAGGAAAAATGCCATTCAAAAGGAGGCAATCGAAGAAAAGATCTGCAAAACCGAACCTGTAGAAAACTCTCCGCCTGCAAAAATCATTACAAATGGCCCCACTATTGAAGAAGATATTAAACCACCTGTTTCTACTAAAGATAAAGATGAAATTGTTCTAGACGATTCGATGGACATTAAACAAGAATATCAAGATATGGACTGCAAAAGTGATAGTAGTGATTACAAAGATGAAGAAGATTTTGCTTGTGCTACTTGTGGCCGAGTTTTCATGCAGGTGGAAGATCTGTTTTGCCATCAGAATGAAATGGGACATTTAGAATATAAAAACACTCCCAAAGGAAATGGTTTCTTCTGCTGGAAGAAGGGCTGCGGTCTCTTCTTTGGTACCATGACGTCAGCTCAATTCCATTTCAAAGAAATGCATGCCTTGAAATCTAATATACCAATCTCTGAAAGGCATGTATACAAATACAGGTGCAATCAGTGCAGTCTTGCATTCAAAACTTCAGAAAAGCTAAAGTTGCACTTGCAATACCATCTGATTCGAGCTGCAACAAAGTGCGTATTGTGCGGCAGAAGTTTCCGTTCAGTGTTAGCCTTACAAAAACATGTTGAAATATCTCACGCTGATATGACAAAAGATCAACTAGAACTTTACAGAGCTAGTTTGATGAATAATCCTCTACTTGCTGGAAACGGAGGTGCTAGTGGTGGTATTTTAGATCCACAAACAACTGAGCTGTTGAAGAAAGAAAGCAATCGTGAAGAATTAGAAGACGATATTCCTGACGAAGTCATTAGTCTTCCTGATGAATCTGATGCCTTAGAAGACGCAGAAGACATAAGTGAAGTTAAAGAACACCAAGTTTTAGAAGATTACATTAATAGTCAAGCTATGGCTGAAGACAGTTATGCTGATCCTAATCGAAAGTACAAGTGTCATCGTTGTAAAGTTGCATTCACTAGGCAAAGCTATTTAACTAGTCATAATAAAACACTTTTACATCGTAAAGGTGAGAAAATGAGCTATCCAATGGAAAAATACTTAGATCCAAATAGACCTTTTAAATGTGAAGTTTGCAAAGAATCATTCACGCAGAAGAACATTCTATTGGTCCATTACAACTCGGTTTCACATCTTCACAAATTAAAGTTAAGCATGAAAGAAAATAGCACCCCTAATACTACAGTTGCAGCAACAATTGCAACTGCTTGCACAAGTGTTCCATCTCCCGTATCTTCTGTGACTTCTATGTCTACAACAACCAGTAGTTTATCAAATTCAACCTCAACAAATTCAAAGAGCAGCACAGTTGTCACCAGTGCTGTAGAAAGTAATGATCTAAAGCCTTATAAATGTAACTTATGTAAATTGTACTACAGCCAGGCTTCACATTTAGACGCACACGTTAGATCTGTTCTACATCAGTCAAAAGCTTCCAGAGTTCAAGAGCTTGTTCTATCCGGTGAATTGGACTTACGAACGCCGTTAGTGGAACGGCCCGATTCAACTCCTCCTGCAGAATCGACTACAACTAAGCAACCTGATGTTCCAACCAGTACAGCTGTTGTCGCCCCAGAGATATCAACCTCATCTCAACCTGTGGTCAACACTCTAACTACTAAACAATCTGAGACACCGGCACCTCAAACTTCCGTTACCTCTCAAACAACTTCTACCTCTGCTCCTAGTATTTCTACAGTTACAGCAACCCCACAATTTCAGTTTCCGTTGCATCCAGATCATAACAATATCATGCAGCAAGCAATGAACCTTATGCAACCTTCCCAACTATCACATACTCTACCGCCATTCTCATGTTCTAAATGTGGATCAATGTGTTCATCACAGGATGCTCTTGTGCAACATCAACAGTTGTATTGTTTTTTCGCTCAACAACCTCAAACTCCAATGATACCAACTTTACCTCAAGTTCAACAAAAACATCAGATTGAACGCGATGAACCAAGTGAAAAACAACCTCGATTATCTATAGTACCTCCAGAGACTACCCCAACACCTGCAGTTAATCATTCAAACATGCAAAGAAGTCCTACACCAGGGCAACAAATGTTCAAAAGTAGGTTTCCATTCATAAGACCAAAGCCTCTAATATTTAGACATCTACTTGAAAGTTTTGGTTTCGATGTCGTAATGCAGTTTAACGAAAATTCTCAAAGAAGACCAAAGAAGGATTTAGAGAAGAAAGATGATCAAAAAGAGAATTCTGATGTGAAGCAAGAAAAGAAAGAAACTGAGGACCAAAAGAAAAAATTAGATCTCCCAGAAATCAATCGATCAACATGTAATAAATGTGGAAAAGGATTTTCAAGTATTTGGGTATTAAAGGCTCACCAGGAAGAAAATCACAAAGACATTGTTCCTATTAAAAGTGTAGAAAAGTTTGCAGAAGAGTTTCGTGAGGACTATGAGCGGCGTAATGCATCCTTACCTGTCGTCGACGATGCTAACAATATGGCTGAAGCTCCTTCACCACCTTCAAGTGGCGAATTGAGCACTGGCCCATCAACAACTCCTGCGACACCATCTGGTGTTACGCCATTGCCTAACGCCGTGACTCCACCTGTTACCTCGTTAGGATCGCAAATGCCCGACGTGGCATCTTCGGTGACAGCCAACCAAGCTATGGCAGCTCAAATGCAGTTGAATCAACTCCTCATGAGTCTCAGTATGGGTCTACCTATGCCCATGAACTTAGGAATGAATATGAACTTACCTTTCGCGGCGGCTATGAATATGCATCCACCTCTTATTCCACTTATGATGCCTCCACCTATCGACCCATTGATGGCATCTGCTTTCGGTCATCCAATGATGCCTGGGGCAGCCGTCGATCCCAACTTTTTTGCTGCTCAGCAGAAGCTGCTTCAACAACAGCAACTCTCCCAACAGCAGAAAAGAGCTAGGACTAGAATCAACGACGATCAGCTCAAAATACTAAGAGCTTACTTTGATATTAACAATTCTCCAACTGAAGATCAACTGCTTGAAATGTCGGATAAATCTGGGCTGCCTTTGAAGGTCATCAAACATTGGTTCCGAAACACCCTGTTTAAGGAAAGACAGAGGAATAAAGACTCTCCTTATAATTTCAACAACCCACCTTCAACATATTTGAACCTTGAGGAATATGAAAAAACCGGAGAAGCCAAAATTACTCCCGTATCCGCAGACAAAGAGTGTGATCAAAAGAGCATCGAAACAATAAATTTAGAGAAGAAAGAAACACTTCCTGTTAGCAACGAAAAAAACGAAGATTTTTCCGATGTCAGCACTACTGAAATCAAACTGGAAAAATGCCTACCTAATGATTGCCCTAAGGTTGAACAGTCTTCACAAAGTAAACAGATATACAACATGAATCCATCTGCTTCTGAAATGCTTAATATGTCTGAAGCTCTTAATTGTGCCGTTTCATGTCCTTCTTCATCTTCGGCGATGATGTCAATGGATTTGAGAACATCCTTAGCTGATAGTTTTGGAAGTAATTTTAATCCTTTTGTAAATGCCTCATCAATGATGTCTTTGATGCCACCGGCCTCTGTTTCACCTCCAACATCGGAATCTCCACATTCTACAGGCACGCCCAGCAGTACTCCTACACCTTCCTGTTCATCTTCCGGAAAGCGAGCGAATCGTACGAGGTTCACCGATTTTCAAATCAAAGTGCTGCAAGAATTCTTCGAGTCTAACGCTTATCCGAAAGATGACGACTTGGAATACTTATCCAAACTTTTGACATTGAGTCCCAGGGTGATTGTTGTGTGGTTTCAGAACGCTCGTCAGAAAGCTCGGAAAGTGTACGAAAACCAACCGCCCATAACAACTGAAGAGGAAAACGCTGGTAGATTCCAGCGTACCCCCGGATTAAATTACCAGTGCAAAAAATGCTTACAAGTTTTTCAGCGATATTATGAACTGATTAAACATCAGAAAAGTTCTTGTTTTAAAGATGAAAATCCTTTAGCCAGTCAGATCAAGGTGATGTCTGAAGAACGATCTCAACCATCCACCCCTCCTCAATCGAATCCCATGACCCCCGTCTCCTCCCGTCCATCTGAAAAGGTTTCTACTGCTCCTAATAACAACCAAAATGGTTCTTACAGATGTGACAAATGCAGTCTTGCATTTTCCAGATTCGATCTGTGGAGAGAACATCAATTAGTACACATGATGAATCCAACACTTTTCAGCGGATATCAACCTTCAGCTTTCCCAGTTATGCAATATGATTCCTCCCCACATTCTAACTCCCTGCAGTTAACCCAGATGAAACGTAAACTCTCTGATGACGAGGAATCCCAAAGCGATCACCCAAGGGATAAACGTCTCCGAACAACCATTTTACCTGAGCAATTAGATTATTTATATCAGCAATATCAACTTGAAAGTAATCCCAGTCGGAAGATGCTTGAGAATATAGCAAGAGAAGTTGGATTGAAGAAACGTGTTGTTCAAGTTTGGTTTCAAAACACTCGAGCTCGCGAAAGGAAAGGACAATTTAGAGCACACCAGCAAGTTATACATAAGCGGTGCCCCTTTTGTCGTGCATTATTCAAAGCTCGGTCTGCTTTAGAATCACACTTGGCAACAAGACATGCTGATCAGTACACTAAAGGTGATATAAATATCGACGCACTTCCTGACGGAGAAGGAGATTCGAATCAAGAAGAGCCTGAAAGCCCATCAGACGAAAAAATGAATACATCTGATGCATCACCCTCCCAAACTTTCATTTCAAACCCTGCTGATTTGATGAATAAAACGATGATGAAATACTATCAGGATTCCTGGAAAAGGTTTTATGATGAAGTTGGTGATCTGTCTACACACAAGGATAACAGCAAGGAGCCAACTTTGGCCTCAGATTTATCATTTACTAATAAAACTGGTGAAAAGTCAACAGAAAGCAGCCCTACGAAAGAGCATCCACTTGACTTAAGCAAGCCTCTTAAAGCTTTGATGGAAAAGAGTAATGGCACGCTCCCCGAAAAGTTCCACTTAGAAGATGGGTCTTCTAGGGGAGCTCTGCTAGACGATTGTCATTCTGAAACATACTCCGAGTCAACAGACAACATGGATGGTGAGGAGAGCAATCCAACCTCACCGTCCAGTCGCTATTCTTCAAACTCAAACAAACGTTTTAGGACTCAAATGACAACCATACAACTAAAAGTTATGAAATCTATTTTTGTAGACTATAAAACTCCCTCTATGTGCGAGTGTGAATCTCTAGGTAAAGAGATAGGACTTCCCAAAAGAGTTGTTCAAGTCTGGTTCCAAAATGCACGAGCAAAAGAAAAGAAAGCTAAACTAGCTTTTGTAAAGACTTTCGGACATGAAATGGAACCGCCAAAAGTGAGCGAAGAGTGCAATTTGTGCAACGTCAAATACAACTTAAAATTTTCACCATCCACTCTTCAGGAGCATATATTCTCTAGGAAACATATTGAGAATCTTAAGATCCACATCGATAGTTTGAAGAAAATGACCGATGGGCAGGATTCGGACACTGCCCCAAGCTTCGATTCTCCCGCAACACCTAATCACGTTATGAACTGCACCGCTTCTAGCTCACTCACACCTGTAAACTCAACGCCAAAATTGAATGCTGGTCTTTCTGGCGGGTTACCGAACTTCGGAAATGTTACACCAACGAGTACGGAGTCCAAAATTAAGAGTGAATCTATCGACGGTCAACGGAAAGAGCCTCTGACCAACGGTGAAATAAACTTTTCCAGTAAAGGCAAAAATGAGGACAAAGAAGACGGTTTTGTTCCAACAACAGCTTCCGCTCAAGAAAACCACAATTTGGCAGACTTTGTACCGCCAACGACGTCGGCAGAATCGCCTTCAACGCCGTCCTCAGCGCCTGGACTATTTCCCTATATGTATTCTCCATTTCCTGGCTACTACAATGGCATGCCTGGCGCCTTTCTTCATCACGCCATGTATCCAGGTAGGACTAAACTCTAATACTTTAAGACTCACATAAATGTCAAGATGTGAACTTACTCAAATGCATCTCTTTGATCCCTAAAATAAGGGTGATAAAAAAAAAAGTTCCTAATATTTGGTGAACAACCAGTATATGTGTAAAACATTGTGTTCATTATTATTTTTAAACCATCGTTTATATCATCTTTGGAACTGTAATTATTAAACCATCTGTTAGTTTTTTTAATAAATTTTAACCTCTTGGCCGGATGCAAAATTTAACTGAATTTGTTTTTTATCATGAGGTTTACTAAGTGGGGTTTTCACAAAATCTCACAAATATGCTTTATATTTTTAAAAAATCTTAAATTGTGTTCATATTTTAAATTTTTTTTTTTTTTCATAATTTGACAATTTCGCTGAAGTGGAATTAATTGAAAAAGTTTAAAATTTTTGCTTGTTCAATTATGTATGTTTTGTATGATAGTTTTTTTTTTTCGTTCAAGAAGTCTTTCTACTTGATCTCGTATCCAAAGATATATTTCTACTTTTGACTTGTAAAAAATAATTGTATAAGCTATGCATGTACATTTTACTGCCTTAGTAGCAATCAAAACAGTTTCTTAAATTAACTATATTTCTTATAATTATAATAAGCGTCAATATTTTTCTTTTTTATTTTGATGAAAGAGACATGTGTATTTTATGCAACTTTGAGCATTCTAAATACCGTACGATTTAAAAAAAGAAGAAGCAAATCATTTAAAATTTTATTATGACTTTTTACATGTGCAACAAAAAAAATTTAATTTACTGTGATCTTTCACAAAAACTATTTGCAATTTTAAAGTTTTCGCTCAGGGGTGTTTAGGTTAGCTGTCAAAAAGCATTTTGTGATAGTTTATAAATAAAAAACAAAATTTTTTGCTTTGACTGCTTAACTAATTTAGTTAAATTTCTTGAAATGTGTTGTTGTTTTGAAGTAGTCTAATTATTGCTTATTATCTGAATAGTTAATTGTAAGCATATTTTTAAATAAATTTTTAAATATTTAGTTGTAAAACATAATTTTAAGTATTTTAATTACACCGTCAATAGTTAAATACACTATAGCCGTTCTATTTCAGCCGAATTTTAATAAAAGATTGTGTGCATACTAATTATTATTATAAGTACATAGCTAATACTTTACTGGATATACTAGTAGAGTACTGGATTTAGCCAATTTCTCCTGGTCTCTCTGATTTAAAAAAAATTCTCCAGGTTTTTGTACATTTTAGAAAATTGCCTAAAATTGAATAAGTTTCTTAACCCTAATAATCTACACACTAAAAATTCCTATAGAAATAGAATTTATTGTTAGCTTGAAAATTGGGATAAGTATTACTAATACATAATGAAGCCTCCTTATAGTGATCAGTTTGAAGCTTTTTAAAGAAAATTAACTATCAAAAATAAATTACTTGTCTATTACTATTCAAAATTATGAATTAATATGAAAGAAAAGCATTTCGAATTCATGTTCATTTGATGTCAATCATAACGGAAAATATTGCACATTATTCATAGTTATAAGCGTGATTTTTTTTAATATTTTGATGACAATAAAAATCCCTGAAATGCCCTATATGTATAATATTTAGTATATTATGCAACAGTTATCAAAATTATATTATTTCGTAAGACCTATTGGATTTTTTCCTATCCAAATCGGCAGCTACAAAAAAAAAAATATTTAACAACATAACTTAATTCGATTTATTATTTTAATTATATCTTATTCTAATATTTCTAACCAAATTACTGCACGAGACCTTAGCCTTGTAAATATCAGCACTAGTCATAATTAAGTTAAATATGATTTTAAAAAAACATACAGGCTGAAATAGATCAAACATTTTCTTTACAAAAACAATTCATTTTTATTAACTAATTACCTCAAATTGTTAAATTTTTGTATTGCTTATTGTGTGAATGTATAGTGCATGTTACTTTAAATCATAGCATGGCAGATATACAACTTATTGCATGTGCCTTAATATCATGTAGATTTTTATTATTTTTTTTAGTGTTTGTGTTATATTTTTGTGTATAAATCCCCTATGATTTTCAGTTTTGTTGTTGTTCATCATGCAAGGTGTTAGAAACAATAAGCAGTTAGTATTTATTTATAAGTTTAATTACGTAAAAGCATTATAGCTTTTGCGTGCGTGGTAGATTATTTATTTCGCCTTTTTATTTATTAATGGTGAAAATTGTTAAAATTTGTGAAAGAGACTGCCTTCTTTTTTCTAAACACCTCGTTATTGTGCATTTTATTTGTTTGTATAAAGAACTCCTTTTATGTATAGTTTTTTTCGTTTAATGGCGGCAATTGACAACTATTTTGTGTGCCATTTTTGTGTAAATATTTATGGAATGCTTAGTTGTAGTTCATCATTCATTGCTCTGACTAAGATTTGTAAAATAAAAATATTGTTTCATTGATGCGTAGCTTCTTTTGATTTTATTATTTATTTTACCATCCCTATAGTAAAAGTAGAAAAACTTTATTTCGCTTTTAAAATTACTAATAATTTATGGATAGAAATGATTTTGCATGTGTTTAGTGTATATGTTCATTTCATAAACATTTAACTAGTGTATTGTTTTAAGTTTTTTTTTGCTCTTCAAGAAAGATGTCTAGAAAAATCGCGTTTAACAAGATAAATTGGAACTTATCAAAGACGATGTGATAAAAATTTGCTCTAATATTTGCACAATTATAAAATAAAATAAAAATTGAGCTGTTTCAGCTGCTTTGATTTTTTTTTTAATCCATTACACTTGATTTGCTCATTTTTTTCTTAACCAATTAGTTTAAAAGGACTAAAAGCAACAATTGGAACAGTTTATTGCTTCTAAAGTAAACGAGCAACAGTTTTTTTTTTTTTTTTTNTTTTTTTTTTTTTTTTGCCATTTTCGGCAAAGGCTAAAATCTTTTTATAAATTTTGATAGAATCTCAAAACTTTCTGCGAGAAAATTGTATATTCGATCTTGTTAAATAGTACTATTTAAAAAAAAGGATAGAAATAAGATACCATTTTGTATTCTTAGAAATGTTCCATACCCTTTTTTTTCTTATGCGTTCTTGGGGGAAAAACTCTTTTGCCATGAAGCAATAAGCTTTTCCTGTGTATTGTGCTGCTAGTCAGGGAAAATATCAGAATGTTGTGAAGTATCTATTTGTAAACAACATTTAATGTCCCAATTAAAAAGACGTTGCTTATCTTTATATTACCTCAAACCTTTTATTTATTTGATTTTCAAAAATTTTGGAGAATAATTGTTAAATTTCTTTCTTAGTTTTATTCGTTTTACAAACATATAAAATTTTAAGATATGTTACATCTGCCAGTAATTTTTTTTTTAAAAATCTACGCACATGAATGCGTTTTTAGTGTAGATTCTCTTAGTTATAAACAAACCTTTTCCACGACGATAGCAATAATAATTGTAGTCAAGCTAGAACAGTTGGTAAATTCTCTTCATGAAAAGAGGTTTAAAAAAAATATTCGGGGGGAGAAAGAGTAGCTGTAGGTTCGTCTCTCCCCATTTCGAACACCTGGCTTTTACTGAAATTAAACAAATAAAATATTCTAAAAAAAAAATCTCAACAGAAGATTTGGGGGTTTAGTAACTGCCCTACCACCGTTAAACTTCATTGTTCTTATGTAAAAGTTGTGGATTTTTTTTTTCGATCTTTTTCACTTTATCCTTTATTAAGCTCTTCCAAAGGGTTAAACATGCCATAAATTAACTATCCATGGTAGATTTTTATGAGGCGTGAAGCATGATGGGAAATCGAATTTTTTGTGTGGTTTAGGATAGAAGTTTTGGAATAAAGAATGAGGTGAGTTTTGCATTGTATTTTTTCTCCTTTTTTGTAACTGTGACCGAAATAGTGTCATTCTTTTGTCCTTTCCAAAGGCGGAAATATAATTATATCACACTCGAAACAGCTGATTGGGTACTCGGCGATTCAAAATTGTCACCTAGTGCGTGATTGGATGTAATTTACATTTTAGCAGATTGAACTTTATTGCCTGATGGAGAGCGCATTGAATTTAAATACAAAAACTCGGTGAGTCATTTGAGGTAAAGAGAGAATAGAATTTGTTAAATTAAAAGTAATAATTTACTTCTTTAATAGCGTTTTCTTTTTTTGAAGCAAATTAGCATTATGACCACAGTAAAAAGACAGTTCTTGAGATTTCAATGTTAGCTTTCTTCGGTTCGTTTGTGTCCAAAACTAAGAGAATATAATGGAAATAAAATTCGTGGCTGTCAACTCTACTGGTTTTATAAATGTTCTCCTGATTTTTGTACATTCTAAAGAATTCCCTAAAATTGAGTAAATTTTCTATTAAAAAAATCCCTATTTAAGTAAAATTTTTACATAATTTATTGCTTGCTTGAATATTTAAATGATACATAATGAAACGAGCCTCATTTATAGAAATCAGTTTAAAGCTTTTTTTGTTCTTTTTCTNGTGGGACACTTTTTTTTTTTTTTTCTTCTAAAATTTTCAGTTTATCTTTATTCAAAACTATTTTTTAAACTAATCTAAAAATTTTCCAGGTATCAATAATAAATTTCTTGTCTATTACTTTTGAATAATGAGTTAACTTAATTGAAAACATTTCGTGTTTATTTAATGTCTATCATAAATGAAAAACACTGCAGGCCATTTATAGTTATCAGTTTAATAAAAGTTTTGGTATTTTTATGATGGTAAAAATTCCCTTTTTGTGAATTATTTAGTATATTATGTAACAGTTCTATGAAATTTATGCTTCGTGAAATCTAGTATAATATTTTCGTGTTAGTTTAAAATATTAGTTTTCTTCGCTTTATTTGAGTCTCTTACCTTTTAATAATACAAGAGCTAAAGACGAGTATATAATAGGAGTAAAGTTCGTTATAATTTGAAAAAGATACGACAACTATTTCAAGCTGTCAAAAAATTGAAGCTTTCACTTATTAATTGCTCTTTGTTTTTAAAATATGAGTCGGAAAATAATATATACTTGGAAACCTATTTTTAGTGAAATTTATTTGGGGGGGGGGGAATTATGACAAAATCCAGTTTGTAAGTACTTTAGAAATTCAGGGCCTGATTATTAACAAGAAAATGGAAGTACTTGCCCAGTGTCCTTATTCTAAAAGAGACCAGAAAAATAACTAGCAAAAAAGAAATTATTTATTAAAACTTTCGTTTTGTGAGGAGAAAGCCGAAGGTTTGAAGCATTATTTTCTGAGTCTCTTCCATTTATAATTTCTATTTTACAGTTTATATTTTTTTTAAATAAAAAATAAAGAAAAAATACATAATTATAAATTGTAGCAACTTTTAGAATTGAAAAAAAGAAATTTGATTTTTTTTTCTTCATTTTTAGGATATTTTACTTCAATAGCTTTTAAAACTTATGTTTAATTACATTTTTATAAGTTAAAAAAAAAAAAATTTCAGAAAAAAGAATTCGTGTCATAAAATTGTTGATAAAAAAAAAGTTCTTGTCATATAAAATAGTTGATGAATTTTACGTCAAAAATAGCGTAATGTAAAATATGTTAATGTAATATAAACTAATTTATGGGGTGGAGGATATGTAATTAGTATTCCAAGCAAAATGGTTATATTTTGATAGTTTTGTAAACTGAACATTGTCATAGTCGCGTTGTTTCTGAATTTCAACCTCTGCGCGTCAGCATATCAATTCTATAACTAAACTGATACTTGACTATAAATTGCCAAAATAAGGTACTGTGACATTTGTATTTACATTTTTCTTTCTTACGTTAGATGATATTTCAGAGAAAAACTGTAAGACTGAAAGAATCATCCTACCCAAAAATATATAAATATGATTAATTATTAAGACCTATCACCTTGGCCTAACTTCTTGGGAGGGCAACAACTTTGGGGTCCAAAATACTTTACCTGTCACCTCTCAAACAAGAGGAAATCTTGTCTTTATATTCATTTTTAAACAGCAGGGTAAGAACTATTTTTCAAAAGAAATGCTTGAAACTGGAATAATTATATCTTTTGTTAACTATGTCTAAGGTTTCAACGTGATTGCCTCCTCTTTCTACTTTGCAATAAACCCATACTGTTCTTTTGTTAGGTTTTCCTACTTATTTCAGCCATTTTTATCAGGTGGAATTGACAAAAACTGTGGGAAATTTAACCGTTGAAGATAAGGTATTTACATGAAAAGCTTTTAACTTTCTCAGTGTCATTCATTATTGGGGAAAAACTATGGATAGTTGTTTCTCATTGTGCCTGTTGAAACTTGTTAAGATTGAAGAATAAGCTGTATAGCCGAAAATAAATCACAAAATTTAAAATTTATACTAAATCTACTTCTAATGTATAATTTTTCTTTTGATAAAGAATAATTTTATTTTTCCAGTATAATAAAATTCCCCGTTAGATAATCATTTTGTTGGGCTTTGTGAATTTCGCCGAATAGCAAAACATGTTAAAAATGGCTTGAGTTATTAATATTATTATTTTTACTACTATCCCGAGACAATAAACCCATACGGCTCTGTTTGGTTTTCATACTTATTTCAGCCGTTTTTATCAGTTAGAATTGAAGAAAACTGTAAATTTCAACCATTGAAGATGGTATTTTCTTAAAACCTTTTAACTTTCTCAATATCATTCATTATTAAAAAAAAAATGACAGCTGTTTATCTTTGCACCTGTTGAAACTTGCTAAGATTGAAAAATAAGCTATTTAGCCAAGAATGAATTGTATAGTTTTATCCTAAATGAACTTTTAATGTGTAGTTTTTCTCTTAATAATAAATAATTTTATTTATTTTCTTGAGTAATTAGTTTCGAAGGCTAGATATGAAAATTGGCATATATACTCTTACCATTGAACAACTTGAATTAGCATAAATCATATGCCACGTTGTGAAAGTATTCTAAAGAACAATTTGAAAGTGCTTTTTGATAAAAAACACAAAAAAAATTCTTGATAAAAAGCTTTTAACTTTTTTCAAAATCACTAATTATAAACAAAAATTTGACCTCTGTTTTTCATTGAACATGTTGATACTTGCTTAATTTGAATCATAGATTGCAGTAAAAAATTAACGTAAATTTATTAAAATTTTACTCAAAATTATTTTCAAGTACATATGACTTTCATAAAAGAGAAACTACTAATATATAGATTTATTTTTTGAATGATACAACTTTTAAAAGTTCTTTACAAGGGCAGATATAAAAATTGGTAAATATATTCTTACTATTTGCGTGTACTTTTGAGCAGCTTGTATCAGTCTAACGAAGATATTCTAAAGAGCATTAAGTTTTTTTTTTTTTTTTTTGTGCAAAACACCAAAGGGGAATGATATAGTTTTTTCATAAAAAGCTTTTACATTTTTTTAACGTTATTCATTACAAGCTATAATTTGATTTCTGTTTGTCATTGTACCTGTTGATACTTAATTTGAATTACAGGTTACGGTAAAAAATAAATGAATTTAAATTTTATTCTAAATCATTTTCTGATGTGAATGGTTTTTGGTTGGAATGGTTGATTAAAAAAAAAGAGAAAAACTAATAATAATTCGCTTTAGTTTTTGAATTAGATAGCTTTAAAACGTTCTTTATCAGACTATATATAAAAATGAGCAAATACAAATCAAGTAAGCTAGTGCGATTGAAAAAAATTCTTGCGGAAAATTTCTAGATAGGGGTATAAATGTTGTGTACACGTGAATTTTTTTCGTTTTGAAATTTTTGTTAGTATGTGTAATATAAATTTCAAATACACTACATTTTATTTAAAAGCTCTTTTAATATTTATATTGGTTTTTGAATGAGAAATAATTAGAATTTTTATGAAAAATTTAAAATAAATTGAAAAAAATATGAAATTTATCAAAATAGTTTAAGTGAATGAAAAGAATTAATTAATAAATTTAGGAATTTAAAAAAAGATAAATCGAGCTGGTTTAAACACTATTAATATTATTTATAATCATTCTAGCTCAATTAATTTTATTAAAATTGTTCTAGCTTAACAAACGTTATATATAGCGAAGTTTCACCTTATGCTCAAAAGCAAATATTGAAAAAGATAAATTCAAGGATTCTGTTATCTATTACACTCTTAATTTACATTTTTGTTTCAATGTCCTATCAAAGGCTCGATAAAATAAATTTAAAACAAAAAATATCGTTAATTTTTTGTTACTTTCATCTTTGCTACAATGACCTGTCAAAGCCTTAAGAAAATTAATTAAAAAATGCTGTTAAATAAATAAATATTAATTAAAAAATGCTATATGTTAATACTTTTTATTTGTATCTTTGAAATATGCCATCAAAGCCTCAAAAAAATAAATAAAACCATTGTTTACTTATTATTTTTCTAACTTGCATCGTTGTGGTTATGTCTTGTCTAAGCCTCGTGAACTTAAATTTAAAAATAAAAAATTTTTTTATTTATAATTTTCCAATTTGCATCAATGTCCACAGAGCTTCAAACAAAATATCATTAAAAATACCGTTGTTTATTTATTACTTCTTAACTTCCCTCTCTGCAACAATGTCCGATTAAAGCCTAAAACAAAATGTCATTGAAAATATCATTGTTTATCTATTACTTTCTAACTTGCATCTTTGCAACAATGTCCTACCAAACAAAATATCATTAAAAAATACCGTTGTTTATTTCCAACTTGTATCTTTGTAGTCGTGTCCTCTCAAAGCTTTCCCATGTAACACAATCTACCTTTGTCCCTTTAATCATCCTTTGCAACTGACCATCGTTTAACTTTAAAATGCACGCCACTTCCTAATTCTATATTCCTCGATCCCTACG